ATACGAGAAGATTCTGATGGTGCCCCAGCCGGATTATGCCACCCGATACCGTGAGGATCTGGTGCTCTGGGGTGGAGGCTCAGGGACACAGCCCCAAAACCCTTCCCCATCTCCGCTTTGTCCCTTTTCCAATTCCTGTGCTAAAGTTCCTTTTTCTATGTTCCTAGCGGGAACCAGGTCTTAGATTGCCCCTCCATATTCTAATCAAGTAGTAGTAGTAGTAGTAGCAGCAGTAGTCTTAAAGCTAATTAAGTTTCTGACTTTCCTGGCTTTCCTGACTCCACTTATCTAGCTGCCTCATGGGAAGTGTATTGGACTGGGAGCCCTAGGTGGTTTGGGCAAGTCACATAATCTCCCCAAAATATGAAAGTTTCCTTATCTATAAAATAGGAAGGCTAATAATAACCACAATGCCAGTCCCTGTGGTGGTCACTTTCCTTATAACTGTGAGATAAACATTATTCTCCCCATTTTAAAGTTTCTACTGAGTTTCAAAAAAGTCAGGGACCCGAGAAGCAATTAACCTGCATTAACTTGCTATGTGACTTTGGGCAAGTCTCAGTTTCCTCATCTGTCAAATGGGATAACAATAGCCATCCTAAACAATGTGCATCACAGGATGGTTGTGAAGAGATAATGAAAAAATGGTTATGCAATTGTTTGGTGAGGCATGGTACAAGTGCTAAGCAGCAGCAACAGCAATAAGAATAGTAATAATGTATTCCGCATACCATGCCATCTGCCCTCACTCTGTCCCTGTGCCCTACCATTTCCTTCTTGGGTCCTCTTCACCCTTACAGTCCTCTGGAAGCACTTGATTGAACAGTATGGGAAGTCTTTACTAAACCACGTGGATATCAGTGGACTGACCAAGGTTTCCGACGGCTATACCCCCGGAGACATCACTCTAACTGTCCATTCTGTGATGACTGAGAAGCGGAAGATTCAACTGATCAAACGGCCTCTGACACCCTATGAGTTTCTGGAACTTCTGGCCAAGATGGACCCAGTGTATGAGGAGGAGGAGGTATCACTGAAGGTACCAGAGATGTGTGCGTGTGCATGTGCGTGTGTGTATTGAAGAGAGGGTAAGGAGGTGGTATGAGGAAGAAAGTGGGAGAGCTTGCAAGAGTCCTTGGGAAAGAGGCCCAGAGTCATTCCTAATCAGAGGGGCCTGCCCCAGGGGAAAGGTCATTTTGTGGCTCTGTGTCTTCAGCACCTACAGTAGGTTTATACAGGTGAAAACAAGTGAAAACAACAGCAAAGGCAGGCTTTCAGGGGAAAGGATAGGGGCAAATACTGGACCTTTGATTTCATTGATATTGGGAATTACCAGATGAGAAAACTTTCTTTACCAATTCTTTGCAATTTAGAGTGTTAGAAAATTGTCCAGAACCCTAAGAGGTTAGTTAAGTGATTCTCCCAGAGTCCTACAAATAGCCTTGAACCCAAATCTTCCTGGCCAGTTCTCTATCCACTACACTACACTGTTTCTTTGGAAGGGAAAAGAAGTCACAAAAAGACATGCTGACTAAGAATGTGTATGGAAAAGAAAAGGTGAGGGATAGGTCCACCCACTATTCCTTCATGAGAGTGGGAACTCATCATATTTACAGCCCTTAATAAGGCTGATCACATGCATATTGGCCTCCTCTCTCTCTCTCTCTCTCCCTCCCTCTCTCTCTCTTTCTTCCTCTCTCTGTCTCTGTCTCTTTCTCTTCCTCTTCCTCTCTCCCTCTCTCTGTTTTTGTTTCTGTCTCTGTCTCTTTTTCTTTTTCTCAAAGCACTGCTATCTTCTTGAGTCATTGCTGAAGTACCAATAGCTTTGACTCCACCCCACAATAGGGCCCAGGGCCTTGATTCATTGACTATACCCCAAGGGATGGTCCTGGGAGCATGGGAAGAATGAGGGGGTGGGTCCTAGTCTATGGGAGGCATGTGGGAGCAAGAGTGAGGGACACAGCAGGACAACAATAAGATTTTATAGGAGACCCACAGAATATGATCAACCCCAACCTACTAGGAGGAGAGAGAAGTTAGAAAGCAAGGAGGAGGAGTTGCTGCTGAGGAAATTTGGTTACTGAGTATAGGTTAAGTAGGGAACCAAGTCAAAGGACCCCTCTTATGGGGATTCCTCTTTCTGCTTCTTTCCATTTCATACTCTCCTGTTCTTTCTTACTCACTCCCTTCAGGATTGGTACTTTAAGACTCCTCTGGGGAAGAGGCATTTGAAAGCTGCTGAGGATCGAGCAGAGGAGGAGGCAGCAAGATTGGCAAGAGAGAAGAAGAAGAAGAAATGATGAAGCTCAAAGCAGGGCCATAATGGGAGGGATGCTGAGGACTGGGGTGTGTGGGGAAGCATCCTTAGGGTGGATGGGCCAGATGGTAGAGGTATAAACACCCAAACAGCTGTAGGGATGATGGAAATTCGTGTGGATGTCTATCTCTATGTCCCATTTCCCCTGGCTTCATTTCTTTAGCCCCAATTCTTCCTCTTTTGCCTTCATCCCCACCCTACATTTCTGTGAACCTAACTCATGGTCATCTCTTGTTTCCTATCCCCCAGTCATGCCTGGATCGTTTTCCCTTGCCTTCTAAGACTTTGTTTCCCTGGTCTTTCTTTGTCTTTTTTTTTTTTTTTTTGGTTAGGCCATGGGGGTTAAGTGACTTGCCCAGGGTCACGCAGCTAGTAAGTGTTTTGTGTCTGAGACTGGATTTGAACTCAGGTCCTCCTGACTCCAGGGCCAGTGCTCTATCTACTGCACCACCTAGCTGCCCCCTCTTTCTTTGTCTTGATCTCCATCTCTGCTTCCGCCTTCATCTCTGACTCTCAGTCTCTTTTTCTGTATTTCTTTTTCTTTCTACATTCATGAACAAATAGGGAGAAGGAGTCAGTAAGTTAGCAGGTGGAAAAGCAAAGAGATTGAGGCATGCTGGTGTGATGCAAGGAAGTACCAAATTGGGAGTTGGAAGATCTGGGTTCTGAGTGTCCTTCGGTAAATAACTTTGCATCTCTGGGCCTCAGTTTCCTCATACCAAAAAAAGAAAAAAAAGAAGGGGTTGAATTCTACAATCTTTGAGGTTCCTTCCAGATCTAGCATTCTAGGATTCTGTCAGCTAGGGGCACAGGATAAGACAGACATTCTCTCCTTTAAAAATGTCACCCTTTTGTTTTTGCATCCCCTTCCTTTTCCAATACATCTCTCCACTCTCCCTCTTCCTCTTTCCCAAAAAATCATCCCTAATAACAAAAAGGGGAAAAAAAGGGAGAAGGAAAAAAAAAACTTTAGCCAAGCTAACAATGTCAATCTAGTCTAACATTATGTACAGTATAATGGTTTCCCACTTCTGCAAAGACAGGAAGGAGGGAAGTGAGTGCATTCTCACAGCTCTTTTTGGAGCGGTGCTTGGCTATTGTAATTTCACAGCACTCAGTTTTAACGCTGATGATGTTGTTACATTGTTATTATATATGTTATTTTCCTGGTTCTGCTTACTTTACTCTGCATCAGTTCATGTAATTTTTTTCATTCTGTTATTAGAAGTGATTGTAATTATTATTAATATAATTATTGTATTATATTGTAATGTAATTATTATATTATAAAATTATTGTATTATAATTTTGTATAGTACAGTAATATTCAGTTACTACGATTTATTCAACCATTCCCCAATTGATGGACATCTACTTGGTTTCCAATTCTTTGCTACTACAGAAAGTGCTGCTATAAATGTTTTGGTGTTAATCAGATCTTTCTTTTTATTGTTGACCTCCTTGGGGTATATGCCTTGCTGTGGGGCCCCTAGGTCAAAGAGTACAGACTTTTTAGTCACTTTCTTAACAGAATTCTAAATTGCTTTCCAGAATGGTGGGACCAATTTACAACTCCACTAACAGGGTGTTAGTGTGTCTGTCTCTCTACAACTTAGCCAACACTGACTTACACCTCTCCCTTTTGCTGGCCCCAAACCTGTTCTCAAATGTTCAGCCCCACCCCCAGCTTCAGGTTTTGCTTTGGATGACAGCTGAGCCCAGGGCTATTTATGGTCTCCCTCTCAGCACCCTTCTCCCTCCCCTCTCTAAGCCAGATCCTGGATCCTGTCCAGCATCTGCTCAGGATATGGCCATAAACCACCCTAAACCCTGCTCTTCTGGGTCTTGCCCCCAGAAATCCCCCTGAAAACTGCGGCCATGCCCAGAGAATCGGAAAGCAGGCGGCGGTCATCCTGGCTGACCCGGCTTTCCCCAGCCTCCCTCCATTCAGAATGGGACCCCTTGTCCCGGGGCTATCCTGCCCGGAGGGTGCCCAAGCGGGCACCCCTGCTTAGCAGGGACATGGTCCTGCAAAATGCACTGTACACGGGGAACCTGGAGAAGCTTCAAGAGCTCTTTCCCCCAAACAGCACTGCAGACCTGCTGCTAGAGAGCCGGATGGCTGAGCCTCGCTGGAGCAGCCACCAGAGGGGTGAGGGAGCAGGGGGATGGAATCAGGAGATGGGGGCACATGGCAGTGCGGGATGGCCCAGTAGCCTGGGGGGGGGGGGATAGGAGGAAGAATAGAAGGGATGGGGAGGGGGCCAGACTGGGTAAATGGAGAGAGTGAGAGGTGCTGTATATTTGAGGAGACAGAAGAACCCCAGGTTGTTTCTCTTGTCCTCAGGTACACCCTCACCCTGCAAATACTGGCTCTGACCTGAAGTCATGTGGAGCCCAGAATAGCTTCTGTGAAACTTAGCGTTAGAGTCTGACTTTTAGCCACAGGACTACCAGGAGTCTCCGTCTCTTTCTGTCCTTGTCCATGTTTCTGTCTGTCTTTGCTCCCCCTTTCCCCCTCTATCTCTCCTCCTATCACTGCCTCTCCCTCTCCCTCTTCTCTCCCCACCCCTCCCACCCCGTCTCACCTCTCCCTTCTCTGTCTCTGCCCTGAACTCTATTTCTATTTCCTCTTTTTCACAATATCTTTGTCCTCAACCCTAGACCCCATTTCCCTTTCCTTATGGGTAGCGCCTCATCCCCAGAAGATTGCAGAGAGCTGGGGGGGTGGTCCGCTTAGTAGCCTTTGTGCCAGGTTGGTTGAGAAAGCAGACAGAGATCCCGGAGAGGGTCAAGGGCCAGGTCATGGGCCCATAGTAACCAGGACAGCCTCTGGGCCCACCTTGGAGTTCTGGCAAGCCGTGCTGGTCGGGGATGTGGCCTCTGTCTCCCATCTCTTGGCCTCCCCTGGCACTGGCCTCACCCCGGATATTGTCTTTGACACCAGCGACCCAGAGAGATGGAGAGATTTCAGATTCAACATTCGAGCTCTGAGTATGGGCAGCAGAGGCCTGGGTTGTTTGGGTGGGGGGGAGGGGATAAAGGCAGCCATAACAAGAGGTGGGGGGAGGGGCTCCAAGACTCCTATCTACCACCTTCTCCCAACATTACTCCCTTGCCCACCTAGGCTTCAGGTCTGGGATTATCTCTTGGTGTTTTGACCCTTCTTGGCATTTGGGTTCCCACCCCAACTTGAGGTCTCCAAACCCTCCTTAGGGCTTTGGTCTCTGACCTACGTGGAAGAGCTGACCACCCCAATACATGTAGCAGCTGGCCGAGGCCACGAACAAGTTCTCCAGCTGTTGCTAAATCGAGGAGCCCAGCCAGATGCTGCCCCTGGGGGTCGCACTGCTCTGCATGAAGCATGCATCTCTGGCCATGCACCCTGCGCCCGACTGCTGCTTGTAGCAGGAGCTGACCCAGACATCCCAGACCAGGATGGGAGGCGCCCTTTACACCTGTGCCAGGGGCCTGGCGCCCTCCAGTAAGTGACTGCCCTTCAGTCTCCCCCAGCTCTGTGTGCTCCCACCCACCTTCTTTGCCACAATCCCTACATTTCTAGTCTCCACTTTTCCACCTATTCCTGGGAAAGGATGGGGGGTCGATTGATGAAATCATTTCAAGGGATCACAGCAGGGAACATACAATAGTAATTGAATGAGAGACTGGATAGAAGCAGGCACCAGTGGAAGCAACAAGGGTTTATTAAGCCCTCCCCATGTGCCAGGCACTGTGCTAAGAGCATAGTGAGGCAGCATGGCATATCAGAGTGCTGGATCTGGCCCCAAAGAATTTCTCCCAGCTCTACTTCTTATTCCCTGTGGATTTAGGCCCACTACTTCCCCTTCTCTGGACCTCAGTTTCCTAATTTTATAAAATGAGGGGCTTGGACTAGATAGGGTTCTTTTTTTTTTCGTTAGGCAATGGGGTTAAGTGACTTGCCCAGGGTCACACAGCTAGTAAGAGTTATGTGTCTGAGGTTGGATGTGAGCTCAGGTCCTCCTAAATCCAGAGCTGGTGCTCTATCCACTGCACCACCTAGCTTCCCCAAGAGTTCTTAGTCTTTTATGTGTAGAAGCAGGTAGGTGGCACAATGGATAGAAGACTGGACTTGAGGTCAGGAGACCTGAGTTCAAATCCTACCTGAGACACTTACTAGCTGTATGACCCTGGGCAAGTCACTTAACCTCTGTCTGCCTCAGTTCTCTCAATAGTAAAATGGTGATAATAATAGTACTTGCCTCTCAGCCTTGTGAGGATTAAATGGGATAATATTTGTAAAGTGCCTGGCATATAGTAAGGACTTAAAATGCTTATTTCTTTCCTTTATGGACCCTTTGCAATCTGATGAAGCCTATGGACCCCATCTCAGAGTAACATTTTAAAATGCATACAATTAAATGCATAGGATTACGAAGGAAATCAATTATATTGACATGCTATTTTATGTACATATGTATGGATATATGTATATTTTTAAATAAAAAATGTATTAAATCAAGGTTATTAACCCTCAGATAAAAACTCCTGGGGCAGCTAAGTGGCGCAGTGGATAGAGTACTGGACCTGGATTCAGGAAGATCTGAGTTCAAATCTGGCCTCAGACACTTAACACTCACTACCAGTGTGACCCTGGGCAAGTCACTTAACTCCATTGCCTAGCCAAAAAAAAAAAAAAAAAAAAAAAGAACTCCTGAACTAGATAATTTCTAAGGTTGTTTCCATGATCCTCAGGCTCAGGACAGGATTGTCTCAGTGCCAGGAATGTGTTTGGGAGTTTTGGAATGTGTTCCCCCCATAGTGGGACATTGACATTGGCACTAATTGAGTATTTTCAGAGTGGATTATGGAGTGGCCTGAACTTTGGGCACTCTTTTAGGGGAGAATGTGTGTGTGTGTGTGTGTGTGTGTGTGTGTGTGTGTGTGTGTGTGTAATAAGTGTGCTCTAAAGGACCAAGTTTGTCTTTGATGCCTTCATTCACCCCCACTCCCATCACTTGGGACCTTTTCCGCACTCTCTTATGCTCTAAGAAGAGAGACATGTTATATACAATAGGAGAGGGAAGCGTTTCCCTGAACTTTGCCTTGTTCACATCTCATATAAGTATTGCGTTCAGCATTAGGCCCCACATTTTAGGAAGAGTTTTGACCAACTGGGGTACACCCAGAGGAAGACAGCTAGGATAGTTCAAGGACTGGAGATCCTGCTGTATGAGCATTATTTAATAAAATTGTAATGTTTAGTCTGGAAAGAAGAAGAGGAGAGGAGGAGGGCTAAGACATGGCTTTGGGTGTTTGAAGGGCTGTGGTGTGGAAGAACGATTCCACTTGTTCTGCTTGGTGCCAGGGGCCAAACTGGGAGCAGTGGCTGGAGCTGCAGAGAAGCATGGAGATTTGATGTAGTTGTCACAGGTAGACCCTTCCCAATGTGGCACCAGCTGCCCTAAGAAAGGTGTTCCCCATCATCGGAATTCTTCAAGTGGAGAATGGATGATCACTTATCAAGAATGTTGGTAGAGAGGATTTCTATTCAGTGGTAGGTTGGACTAGATAATTTGGGAGACTGGGAGATTTCCTCCCATTTCTTCCCACACTTTTTACTACCCAGGTATTCCGTGCCCGCAGACTGAAAAGAAATAACAGATAAAACACTCATATCAAGGTGTCAGGGACCTTATGTGTTGTTGCTTCCTAGGTCACTTGCAGCTTTAAAGGGAGCTACCAGAAGAATTTCAGGCAGAATGGCAAATGGACAAGGGAGTTATTTTGGGATAAGGTGGTTCCTAAACACCACTCAAATCATGTCTATTCAGCCTATGTCTGTGTGCCCAGCGGTCTTTGTCTGTATTTGTCTCTGCGGCACTCTGTTACACACACACACGCACACACACACACACACACACACACACACACACACACACTTCCCTCCTCTCTTTGGTCCCCAGGTGTGCAGAGCTGCTGCTGAGGTTTGGCGCCACTGTGGATGGTCGATCTGAGGAAGAGGAGGAGACACCTCTCCATGTGGCAGCCCGAGGAGGGCTGGCAGAGCTGGCTGCATTGCTCTTGAGGAAAGGCGCTTGTCCAGATGCCCGTGATGCCGAAGGCCGGACCCCTCTTCTGGCTGCCTGCTCAGTGCCTCTCCTTCCCCTAGCCGAGGCGGAGGCAGCCATCGCCAGGAGTCTTCACCTGTGCCACCTGCTTCTCTCTGCAGGTGCCGATGCGGATGCTGCTGATCACGACAGGCAGCGGCCCCTGCATCTGGCCTGTCGTCGTGGCAATGTGGCTGTGGCTGAGCTACTCCTGTCCCAGGGGGTCAGCGTCAATGCCATGGACTATGGTGGCCATACAGCCCTGCACTGGGCCTTGCAGGGTCCAGCTGCTGCCCTGCCCTGTAGCCCAGAACAAGTAGTCCGAGCTCTACTCAATCACGGTGCTGTCCGCATCTGGCCTGGAGCCCTTCCCAAGGTACCAAGGGATGCTGAAGTGAAGAGGGGCCCCCAGAAGGTGGTGCAGAGAGAGAGGGGGGAGTTTGAACCAATCGGTGCTCTTCGGTATACTCTGAGAACCAGCCCTTTGTCTCCCTTTCTTTGTATAACCTGGATAGCTGGGATGAAGCCATTCATTCATTCCAGAAGTCTCTGCTGAGCACCTTTTATGTACCTGGTTCTGTGTTAGGCACTACTACAAGGATATGAGAGAAACTTGGGATGAGGGAAGACTTGACTTTCCAGGAGGTTACAGGAGACTGGGGAGGAGGCAGTCCCAGCAAAATCAACACACATTTATTAGGCACCACATGCCAGACACCATATTTGGTGTGGGGAATATGGAGACAAAAACAAAACAATCCTTGTCCTCAAAGAGCTTACACAGAAGGGGTGGGGTGGCTAACATAACATGTCAACAAGAAGTGTAACATAAGAAGAGGGAGGAAACAACTGGCTTCAGGGGTGAGATGGCACCTGCACTGACTTTGAAGGAAGAGAAGTATTTTGAGAGGTGAAGACGAGGAGGGGGTTCATTCTGGGCATGGAAAATGACTGGCACTATTTCTCGGAGGCAAGAGATGGAATGCCACATAGAAGAGTCATCCAGCTCTCCAGTCTGGAATGACAGTTCATGGAAGTAATCTGAAATAAGTTGGGAAAGGTAGGTGGGACCCAGATCATGGAGAGCCCCAAAGATCAAGGCTGAGGAGTTTGTATTCTACCTATAGGCAATGGGGAGCCATGGGAGACTTTTGAGCAGATGAACAACATGGTTGGTCAGAACCAAGGTTGGCCTTAGGAAGATGATTTTTTTTTTTAATTTTGGCAGCTATGTAGAGGATGGTTTTAATGGGAGAGCAGGGAAAATCAATTAGGAGGCCATTTAGAGTAGTCCAGGCAATGGATGAAAACCTGAACTAGAATGATGATGATGAAAGGAGAAGAACTGGATCTGTGATTTCATTGATAAAGGGCACTCCTGAATAAGGAGATTTCCTCTCTCAAAGCTGATTGGCACCTTCTCTGTGATGTATAGTCTTAGAGAATTGCCTAGGGCACTGAGAGATTAAGTGACTTTCCTAGACTCATTCAGCCATGGTGTTTCAGAGGTAGGTCTAGAACCAGGTCTTCCTGATTCCAAGGCCAGCTCTCTTTACCCTACACCACACTGCCTCTTGAGGAGATGCAACTGATTTAATATGGGTGTTAAAAGAGAATGTGCTTAGTACATAGTAGGGGCTTAATAAATATTTATTGAATTGAATCAAGGTTGATTTTTTGGTTATTATAAAACCATGATTGGGAAGATAGTGGTATCCTTAACAGAAACAGGAAAGTTTGGTGGAGGAACAGGTTTAGGGGTGAAGATAATGACTACTGTTTTAGACATGTTAAATCTGATGAATATGGATCATGCCAAAGGAAATTCCCATTAAGCTATTGAAGATGTGAGATTGAAATTCAGGAAAGAAATTAAGATTGGATTAAGATTTGGGACTTGATTGTATAGGACAGAGCTATGGGAAACACCCAAAAGAAGAGGTCAGGAAATGGATGATGGTCCAACAAAGGAGCCTGAGAAGAATCACCAGACAGGCAGGAGGAAAAACAGAAAGAGCTGTATCCTTAAGAGCCTAGCAGTATGAGAGTCCAGGTTTAGGGGGTGGTCAGCAGCATCAAAGGGACATGAGAACTGAGAACTTCTTCATTTTTTTTCTGTTTCAAATATATTTTGATTCATTTCATTAAATATTTCCCAATTATGTTTTAGGGGGAAAATTTATATTCATTTAAAAAATTTTTGAGTTCCAAATTCTCTTCCTCCCTCCCAACCCTCACCCACCCTTTGAGAAGACAAGCAAATATATCAATTATACATGTAAAGTAATACAAAATATATTTCCACACTAGCCATGTTGCAAGAGAAAACATACACACAGAAGAAGAAAAATAAAGAAAGTGAAAAAAGTATCTGCCCTCAGAGTTGAAAACTACTTTAGCAGTTAAGAGATCATGGGTACCCTTGGAGAGAACAATTTTAGAAGTCTAGCGGGTTGGAAGACAAATTGAAAGGGGCTGAAAAGTGAATGGGATATGAGGAAATTAAAGGCTATGACTATAGACATCTTTTTTCTTAGGAGTTTGGCAGTGAAAGGGAGGAGAACTAAATGACAACAGCTTGAGGGGATGGAAGGCTGTAGGCTTTTTTGAAAAATGTGGGAGATTTAGCCATGGTTATAGGTAATAGGGAAAGAAACAATACATAAGGAGAGACTGGTGATGAAAGACAGAAAGGGGATGATTAATTAGTCAATCTCCTGAAGAAATTGAGGAGATGGGATCTGGGACACAACTAGAAGAGTTGGTCTTCAGTGACGGAAGGGCCACTTCTTAATAGAGTGGTCTAAAGTAGAATAACCTTTGCGAAGATATATAGCAGTTGAGTTGTGAAACAGGAACTATGAGAAAGCACTTGACTTCAAGTCTAGTCAAGCCAACAAAATAGTTAGTAAATATTTAGTAAGTGCCTACTTTGCACCAGACGCTGTGTTAATTGATGAGGATACAAAGAGGTAAAAGACAGTCCCTGACCTCAAGGAGCACACAATCTAATGGGGGAAGAGAACAAGCAAACAAAAATGTACAAATTATATGCAGGGGAAAAGAGGAAATAATTAAAAGAGGAAAGGCATTAGAATTAAGAAGGTTTGGGAAAGATTTCTTGGAGAAGGTGGAATTTTCAGTTGGGACTTAAAGGAAGCCAGGGAAGACTGATGGAGATGAGGAGAGAGTGTTCCAGGAATGGAGGACACCCAGAGAAAATGCCCAGAGCTGAGACATGGAGTATCTTGTTTGGGGGAACAGCCAGGAGGCTAGTGTCACTAGATTAAAGAGTATATGGTGGGATGTAAGGTGTGAGAAGATTGGAAAGGAAGGGGCGGGGCTAGGTTATGAAAGACTTTGAACACAAAACACAGGATTTTTAATTTGATCTTGGAGACAATAGGAAGCCACTAGAGTTTAATGAGTTGGGGAGGGGAGTGGTGGCTACATTGTTAGATCTGCACTTTGAGAAAATCACTTTGGTGGCTGAATGGAAAATGAATTTGAGTAGGGAGAGGCTTGAGGCAGGCAGATTTACCAGCACACTATTACAATAATCCAGGCGTTAGGTGATGAAGACCCGTACTAGAATGATGGCAGGATCAGAGGAGAGAAGGGAGTGTATTCATGAGATGTTGCAAAGATGAAATCGACAGGCTTTGGCAACAGATTGCATATGGGAGGTGAGAGATAGTGAGAAATCCAGGATGACCTAGGTTACAAGCCTGAGGCACTGGGAAGATGGTGTTTGCCCTTGACAATAATAGGGAAGTTAGCAGTAGGGCATTAGGGAGGAGAATAATAAATCCTGTTTTGGAAATATTGAGTTTAAGATGTCTCTTGAACATCTACTTCTACATGTCTGAAAGACAGCTAGAGATTTGAGATTAGAGGTCTGCAGAAAGGGTGGGCAAGATAGGTAGATTTGAAAATCATCAGCATGGATATGATAATTTAATGTGTAGGAGCTGATGAAATCACCAAGTGAAGTAATATAGAAGAAAAGAGAAGCCGGCCCAGGGTGGGACCCTGTGGAACACCCATGGTTAAGTGGGGATGACCTCAATGAGGATACAGCAAAAGATACTGAGAAGGAGTGGTCTGATAGGTAGGAGAACCCAGAGAGAGTTGTATCCCCAAAACCTAGAGAGAAGAGAGTATTGAGGAAAAGGTGATTGACAGTGTCAAAGGCTGCAGAGAGGTCAAGGAGAATGAGTACTGAGAAAAGGTCATTGGATATGGCAACTAAGAGATCACTGGCAACTTTGGAGAGGGTAGTTTCTGTAAAATGATGACGTCAGAAACTGGATTGTAGGGTGTTAAGAAGACACAGAGAGAGGAAAGTGGAGGCGGCAATGGTAGATGTCCTTTCCAAAGAATTTAGTACAAAAGGTAGAAGATATAGGGTGATAGAGGGGATGGAAGGACTGAGTAAGGGTTTTTTTTTAGGATGGGGGAGATGAGAACGTTGGCAGCTAGTAAGAAAGGAGCCAGTAGACAGGGAGCAACCGAAAACAAGTGCTAGAGGGGATGATCTGCTGGAGGAGATAAAATGGAATGCAGGTGGAGGGATTGGCCTTGGTAAGGAGTAGAGCCTTCTGTGTGTGAAAGAGGGGTGAAGGAGGAAATAGCAGCAGAAAGCATATTAGTGATACAAGATGAGGAAAAAGGGAGAAAATGGAGTTCATGGTAAATAGCTTCTGTTTTCTCTGTCAAATATGAGGCAAAGTTTTCAGCTGAGAGAGTGGGCAGAAGATAAGCCTTGGGAGGTTTGAGGAGGGATACAAAGGTTTGGAAGAGCTGCTGTGGAGAGTGGGATGGTGAGTTTATAGGCAGGTATAGTAGGATTGTCTAGAAGCAGTGACAGCCCAGTTGAGGTTGTGTTATATAAATCTGTAGCGGACCCAATCAGAATAGTTGCATGATTTTTTTCTACCTTCATTGAGTAGTACACACATAGGAGGGAAGGAGGCAGACAATGGGAGTGATCCAAGGCTGAGGCTTGGCAGGGCCCAATTGGCGATGTGACCAAAGACCTAGTGACTCAACAAAAGAGGGGAGTGTAGAGTTGAAATGGTTCACCAAAGGGTCAAAATGAGAAAAAGGGGAGAGAGTGACAGGTGCATGCAGGGGAGATGGCCTGGGAGACAGTTGAGGAGTTAGGGGATTGGAAATCATGGTATGGATGAAGAGTAGGGTTTGGTAAGGGAAGGCAGAGGGAGAGGTAGAAAGCCATTAAATTAAGGCAAGATAAGGGAATTTCAGAATTCTTGAATATGGAGCTGGTGCATTGTGGGTGATGGCAAGACCAAAGTTGTAACCATCATTGTGTATTGCTGAGGTGGGCTGTAGGAGTAAGTTATGGGAAATGAG